TTTACCATTTCTAATTCTCTTAATTTGTTTCTGTGGATCTGAATTACCACGTGGTGTCATTTCCTCATTCCAATACAGTTTTGCTCTCACCCACCTCCTTTTTGCTCTTATTATTGTCAAGTGTGTTACATTTCTATATTATATATGTCTGACAATACAATTATATGCATGTTACTTTTAAAATTACTTTTTAAATCAGGAGAAGAAAAGAGAAGACGTATGGATATATACTGTTTTTTATACTTATACAATTGCCTTTACCAGTACTCTTTTTTAATGTATTTGTATTACCATCTGGGGTCTTTTACCTGAATAAGGTCAATGGATTGAATTCATGTCAATTTGTGATGTTGTGTAATATGCAAGATGCTACCACTGGGGGAAACTATGTGAGGGAATTATGGGATCTCTGTATTATTTCTTAAAAGTGCATGGGAATATACTATTTTCTCTGATAAAAAGTTAAAAACAAACAAAAAAAAGATAAGAAAAATTTCTACCAAATTATACTTGCCTGACCACCCCACCCAACCTTCTATTTCTTTTAGTTTTAGGTCACTGAGAAAAGGGTTCATAACTCATCAAACACTAGGCCCTGAAAATAATAACTAAGGAATAGACTTTATTGGATAGGTGTTAGGGTTAGGCTTTGGATCCCTTGGGAAAGAGGACTTTCTGAATAGCCTGAATAGTCTGCTTGGTTTTCATGCTATAGATTATGGGATTCATCACAGGTGGAATAAGCAAATACACATTTGCCATAAGAGTGTGTACATAAGGAGGGGCTGTTTTCCCAAATCGATGGACAAAGCACAAGCTAATGAGAGGGATGTAGAAGATAGCAACAGCGCTTATGTGGGAAATACAAGCGCTAAAGGCCTTGTGCCGCTCCTCTCCGGAAGCAATGCTTAGGACAGTCTTAATAATCAGAATGTAAGAGAGAAGAATAAATATGGAGTCCACTCCTGCTGTAACTATGAGGGCAGTAAGTCCTAAAACACTGTTGATCTTGTTGTAAGAACATGAAAGCTGGATTATATCAGGATAGAAACAGTAGGAATGATGGAGCACACGGCTTTGACAGAAGAACAGACGCTTAAGAAGCAGGGCCAGAGGCAATAGGATGACTGTTCCCCTGACAAGAATGGCAAACCACACTTTGATTATTCTGGAATCAGTCAAGATAGTAATATATCTCAGTGGGTTACAAATGGCAACGAAGCAGTCAAAAGCCATTGCCAGGAGCACTGAAGACTCCATGACAGTAAATAGTTGAATGAAGAATGTCTGAGCAATGCAGGCATGGAAACTGAGCTGTCTTGCATTGAACCAGAATATGCCCAGCATAGTGACTAGTGCTGAAACACACAAGCACAGGT